GTGGGGAGCCAGGAGTGGGCACTTGATTGATAGGCCCAGCAGCTACAGGTGAAAGGAAGTGGAAATCACCTGGAACTCACCCTGTGCCCTGGAGCCCAGCCCTGGCTCCTCTGTGTGTCCTTGGGTACTTTACTCAGCACCCTCTCTGGGCCTTAGTTTCCTCATCTGTAAGGGAAGACTGACATCAGAACAACCAAGATTGTTTCTAAAATCTGAAATCCACACAGGAAAGGACTTCAAAAAGTTCTTGGGAAAATTTCATGATCTTTTCATTCTAATTTTCTATGAACTCTCCGTAGCCCCTTTGTATGCATGGGTCACATGATTTTTAACAACAAGCAGGCAGTCTACAGACTTGGGCATGACTCACATTGGGAAGCATGCTCTTTTTTGCCGATAATCTTTTCATAATGTCTCATAATGGAATTTTAGTGGCCTTAGCCTTGACCAGCTTGAAATGATCTAACCAGTGTTCAGCTTAGATTGCAATGTCTAAGAGACCCCCTTAGTTAATTCCAACAGCAATCATCCCTCCCTGCCCCGTCCCCACCGTGTGGGACTGTGAGCTGGGTCAGACAGGTAGGTTTGGTCAGCCAAATGCTTCTTGTTGTTTCAACCCATAGCGATGCTGTATAGGGTTTCCGAGGAGCCGCTGGTGGTGGGTGTGAACTGCCAATCTTGTGGTTCAAACTGACCTTGAAATCCACTGCATTATTCTGCAGCGTCACATGAGGACTAATGTTTAGTGACTCTGCACAGAGCACCCAAGCAAAGAGGTGGAAAATTGGTGGCCCTTAGTGCTGGGCGAACAGGGGCAAGGTAGGGAGGGGAGGTGGCAGGGCACCTATTCAGTGCCCACGAAAGGAAATGGGAGCCCAGCAGAGAGGGAAGGAGTTGGTAGGAAGGGGTTCCGACTCATAGTGACCCTGTATGACCCTGTATAGCCTCATCTTTCTCCCGTGGAATGGCTGGTAGTTTCTACCTGCTGACCTTGAGGTTAGCAGCCCAACTCGTAACCACTACACTAGCAGAGCTCCTCTTTGGAAGGAAGGGGTAGATGGGCCTAATGCTTCATTGGCCAGTTGCTTCCTCCTGCTTGTCCATTACCTATATCTATTCTCTCCCCCATAATCCTGTGTTTCAGGTAGAAGAGAAATCCTGGAGTCCAGAAGCCTGGATTTTAGTCCTGATCCTGAGAGAATGGATTGGAGAGCAACTTGTCAACCCCACAGGGATTCTACAAACAGAAGTCAGGCCGCCATTCAACAATGATGTCATCCGCTGACTCAGAACGGTGCTGTGCTAACTCCAACACTCAGCTCACAGAACTCACTTTCCTCATCTGAAACAGGGTGAGAGCTTCTGTACCTCAGCTTCAAGAAGTTGTGAAAATTTCAGAAGATCACTTAGGTGCCGAGGTCTAATGTGTTGTTGGTAATAATAATAGTACAGAACAAAGTTCACATGCCTGGGCTGCACTTGAGTCTCTGAAATCTTGCAACGCCTCGTAGCGTAACCATATGTCCTAGCAAGGACTCTGTCTTCCCAAACTGTTCTCATGCGTGTAGCTCCTCCCTTCCTGGGTCTCTGGGCACCATACATCTCAGCACACAGCCATGTGCCAAGCTGACTGTGTTTAAATGAACACCCTCTGGGGACTACCCACTCTGGGCTGTAAGCATCTCAGTGATACAGATTTGACATCATTGCATGTTAATCCTGCCAGTAGCATATGCTTGTCTCAAAGATTAAGCCATGCACAGCCGGTACAGTGGAACTGTGAATGGCTCATTAAATCAGTTATGGTTCCTTTGGTCACTTGTTCCTGTCCTACTTGGATAACTGTGGTAATTCTAGGGGTGATACATGCCAACGGGCGCTGACCCTCCTCAAAAAGGAGTCCTGGTGTGGCGCTGTGGGCTAATGTTCTGGACTGCAAAACTGCTTTGAACCACAAGGTCGATGGTTCAAGCTCACCAACCACTCCTCAGAAACTCTATACAGGGTCACTACAGCACTTAACAACAATATACTCACTCATCACATCTGCCTTAGGGGTGGTCTTACAGTTCAGGTTCAAAACTACAATTTAAAATATTGAAAGCAGTAAGAAGCTTGAATTAAGAGAATGAGGTCAGTGGGGGAAAGGAGAATATGCCTAGACCTTAGGCAACAAATCACACTACAAAGTGAACAGGCATTGGAGTTACAAGGGTTAAATCTTGCATCCAGTTCTTGAGTTCTGTCGTTTATTAGCTGGATTTCTTGGCTTCAGAATAAGTCTCTTGCTGGACCTGGGGGCTTAGGACCATAGCCTCAGGGGACACCATGATAAATTGGCATAACACAGTCCACAAAAACAATGTTCTACATTCTACTTTGGTGAGTAGCAACTGAAATCTTAAAAACTCATGAGCAGCCATCTAAGGTGTAACGTTTGGTTTCTCCATGTGCAGAAGAAAGAAGAGTGAAGAAGATTGAAGATGTTTGGAATCAATTTGTCCAATGGATTACTAGAATATGACTCTGAGACCAGAAGATCTAGATGGTGCCTGACTCTCACTACCAATTGCTTGAAAGGGATCATATTAAAAAGTCCCAAGTAGAGTGTGAGAAAATGTGAAACAAAACTCAAAAAAATGATAGAAGAGACCAAGATTACTGATTAGAAGGACTCTTGGTTTGGCGCTGTAGGATCAGCACTGGACAATGAAGCACAGGTTGGCAGTTCAAATCCACCAGCTGCTCCTTGGAATCCCTGTGTAGGGTTGCTGAGTTGGAACTGACTCGATGGGATTTAACAACAGTAAGTGCTGATTAGAAAGAAACTGGAGGAAACTGAGACTATGGCCCTCAGCCACCCTTCAGGTCTGGAATGGATCTCACCCTCGTGATCCAATTTTTAGCCAAGTGGTACACAGAAATATAGGGGGGACAACACTCATAAGGTACGCTCACCATGGAATGGTCAACCATTCAAGATCAAAAGGGCAACATTTACCTAAGGACAAAGTTCAGAAGGTTGGAAAGGAGGGTTGTATGGAAATAAGAATGACAGGGAGGAAGTGGGATAACTGTTGTCACGTGGAGGGGATTGCAATCATTGAGACGAAACAAAGTGTGTGATTTGTTGGATGTAAAACTGATGATCTGTTCCGTAACCCTTCAGTCAATTCACAATGAAAAGTTTCAATAAAAAAGAAAAAGTTTCTTAGCTCCCATTTCCCCATCACGAGAAGGAGATTCCTGCTTTACTGACTCCCAGCGATGGTGCAAGAATCAGATGCCATATGTGGAAACCACAACACAATTTTTATTGAGGTTCAATGACTTGTAGATTTCTCCAACAGTTCCAAACAGGACCTGCAGAGGGCACTGTAGCCCCATAGCCAGTTGCCCAGGGTGGAAATTCTTTGGGCCCTCCCCTTTACTTTGTTTTTTCCCTACTCCTACCAGACACACACTAAGTGTGTACCCTCCCAGCCCACCTTCCCAACCCGCCCACAATTTCTGCTGTTGCGGATTGCAAAACTTATTCTCTCCCTTTGTCCGGGAAATTGCTCTAACTTTTGTGATGTAAGCATGACCCTAGCTATAGGATAATGCCCAGGCTTGTGGTCCAGATGGTTTTTTTTGTGTGTGTGACATCTTTTGCCATCTGCAGAGGTCCATTACTTCTGGGAAGGAATTCTAAATCAGTTGTCCTAGTCAAGGGGAAGTAGGACTGGGGTAGAGGTTGAGTTCATTTGTTCAGTGCATCACCCTACTGGGGAGTAAAGGAGGTGGGAGTTATGTGGGGGGCACATAGCTGTGGGAAGGGGTGAGGCCTATACTTCATTTCTGTTGGAACCGACTCGTCGGCACTTAACAACACTTCATCTATACTAGGGAAGCGATCGTGGTACGTTTTCAGTTGGGTGAGGTCATGTGAATAAAATGAGGTCGGAGAAGTGGACCACCCGCAGCAGTGGGCACCGAGCATCAGAGCTGTGCCTTCCCGGAGCATCAGGATGGGAGGATCCAGGAAGAAAAGGAAGCAGCCAGGTTTAGAGGGGTCTTAGGCACATAGAGAAAGGGGCCTTCCCTGAAGGAGGCAGGAAATAATAAGGGTCCATTGGCCAGGGTTGGCAGCTGCTACTGATCCCCAAAGGGGTTTCTCCTCTTGGCTCATTTCCTCCATCGTAGCAGCGGCTCACGAAAGGCTTGTCCTGGGCAGGGTTGGCAGCTGCTTACTGAGGAGCAGCCTTGAGTGGAGACACCTTATTGACCAGCGTGGGCAGAGCTGTGGCCTCAGGCCCAGTGGGGTCAAGAGGTCAGCCAGACCGTGCAAGGCAGCACGTAGGGCCTGACCCCCCTCCACACTGACTTCCCAGGTCTGCTGCAACTGTGGGGCAAAACCAAGGAAGTAGGGGCTCCTGGGGAACCAGAAAAGCCTAGAGATATGGTGGTAGTTTCAGTTCTTGCCAGTGAGATTGAAAACGCAAAACACTCAGACCCCATGAAAACCAAGGGCCAGCCCTTAATCACATCTTCACGGCTCCCATCAACCTCTTCCCCACTGGGCTCTGTGCCACGGGAGTCCCCATCAGCCTGGAGAATTCATGGTTTGCCACCTAAATTCTCCACTTCATCCTGCCCCTACTTAGTAGGTACCCAAAAAAATAATAATAATAAAGGTATTTCTGTCCAAAGCAGGTCCTGGCCTCCCACTCAGTGTGTGCGGGGCACTGGTGTCTCCCCAGCATGGTTCTGTCCCTGAGTTTAAAGCTGCTCTGCTCTTAATGCCTCCTTTCCAGGGTCTCAAGCTAGCCCTGTGATGTCCTTCATTTGCAGAGTTGAGCTGTGGACACTTCTTCTGGCCCCTGAGAAGTCACCTGGCCCTGGAGTATGCCCTTGGACAGGCTGGCGCTGCGTGGCTAGCCCCTGGAGGGGAGTTGGGAGTGATGGCGAGGAAGGTATGGCAGAGGCAGCGGTGGTGATGGAGGTGGTGGGGCATCTGGTCACCTGTCCCCTCTCCTGCAGGCCTCCCCTGCGTACAGCTTCAGTTTTCCCCGGAGGAAATTGGAGTAGATTCGGAAAAGTTTGCACAAAGTATCCACAGTGAATGTTCGGAGTGGAGAAGCTAAGGCTGCATCTGGAACGGAGGTGGCTTCCTTCTGCCAAGGACAAAGCAGGAGGTCACCGCAGTGCCTGGGACCCCTTAGGGAACTGGGACAGTGAAGAGAGTGCCAGCATTCCTTTGCAGGGTCCCTTCTCCCCATTTTACAGAAACAGAAAGGGCAAACAAAGTGCAGGCAGAATCGGCTCCTACTCACCTGCACTCCCAGTGCCCGAAGTAGGGAGGTGAGGCTGCGTAGGCCACTGACAGCTTTGTCCATGTGAAGCTTCAGGATTTCCGAAGGCCCAGAGGAGTTGACCAACAAGGCTTGTCCCCGAAAGATAGCTTCTGAAAGTAAGGCCAGGCCCTGCCAAACTTCCATGGCCTGCTGGCTGACCTAGGGGGATCATAGATGAGGGGCCAGCTGTTCCTCTCAGCAGCCCCAAGCACCACGCTTAGTTGTTGTTGTTGTTAAGTGCCATCGAGCCAATTCTGACTTATAGCAACCCTGTATAGGGTTTCGAAGGAGCAGCTGTTGAATTTGAACCGCTGACCTTGCGGTCCAGTGCTTTATCCCACAGCACCACACCAGGCAGGACTTCTACATACAGTAGGTTTGCTGAATGCATGGATGAATGAATGGATTTCAGCCAGCCTCCCCTCCTGTCATTCTCCCTCCCACCTGGATCAGGTTCACAAAATGTCCAAGAAGAAGAAAGCATGAACTAACCTCCATCCTATTCCAGGCATAGAAATTAACCTTGGTGTCTGGGACGGTGATATTCTCACCCAAGCTGCAGTCCTCAGCACAGCCCACCTGAAAGGCACACCTCTGGGGGTCAGGGATCTCCGGAAGGCCCACCCACCGCAAGGCGCTCTGTGGCTGCTAGGTTCCAGCTTTGTTATTGGGTTTCTGGCTCCCCCACCACCCTAGTACACGGTGCCAGGAAGGAGTCCCTATTGATTCCTGGGTCTGGAGGAGACACTTGGGCCCCTGAGAGTGACTGTTCTGGGCTAGGCCTCACCGTGACGTTCTCAGCCTCCTTAGCCTCGAGGATGTACCGCTCCAAGACCCGGTTGTCACAGATGAGGCGTGGTGGGGAGCCCAGGACTGGGGGGCCCGGAGGAAACAGTAGCAAGGGCAAGAGTAGCAACAGAGTAGGATATTCTAGAAAAGGAAGCCAGGGGCACGGAGGGGAGGTTCACACACTCCGCTGTTCCCCTGCCCCCAGCCCTTCCCTCTTGACCCCAACCTTCCCTGCGGCGCTCAGGTTCGGCCTCCCTCGCCTTCATTCAATAGCGCTGCCCGGCGCACACCCCACCCCACCCCACCCCCAACTACCGGCATCCACTTCTGGGGCCAAACTTCAATCCCGGGTTGAAAGAGGCTTCCCCTCTCACAGCTCTGGGCTGTGACTCCGAGACCCGCAGAGCAGCCCCTCTTCTCCTGGAACCCACAAGCCTGTCCCCCGTCTCCAGGTTAGATTTTTGCCTTCCAGAGGGACGCGCCGACTCCTGCCACACGTGCAGACTGTTCCCCCCCTCCCGGGGTCCTTGGCAAGTCGTGGGTCCTTGAGCTCAGTCATCTCCCAGTCCACAACCCCCGTGGTAAATCCCTCGACAAACAGGGGTCCCGGGCGGGCGGGCCTCGGTTGGATGGACGGTCTCCCAGCCTGCGAGTACTCACCGAGTGCCCCCATCTCCGTGCCTGCCCGGACCCCTCAGTGACCTGGGGCTCGGCCGGCGCCTATGCCGGGAACCCGCATCCCGGGAAGCTTGGCGGGGCAAAGCTAGCCCCACTGGCTGGAAGGAGGGGGTCACTGTGCTGGGGGCTCGGGCACGTCCCGGCCGCCGAGCCAGGGGTCGGAGGACAGCGAGCGTAGTGCCCCCGGCCAGGGTCCGCGAGGAAGGAGCGGCGAAGCGAGCGGCCAGGGTTGGCTCGGGGACTGTGCGGCTCCAGCTGGGGGTCGGGGCTATTATCAGCATGTGTGCGTGCGTGTGTGGGGGTGGGGGTGTGTGCGTGAGGGGTCGCCAGAGGTGGGGGCCACGCGGGGTCAGAGCAGGGGGCAGAACGCCTGGGTCCAGGGCTGGCTGGGGCGGGAGCTTGAGCTGTGGCAGATGCGGGTGTAGCCCGGGTCTGCCCACAGGACCCCTGGGTTCTTGGGAGGGGAAAGTAGGCGAAAGGGAGAAGAGTATGGTTTGGGGACAGGCGGGAGATTGGGGACAGATACTTCCCCTCAGGGATTCCCAGTTCGGGGCCAAGCCGGTGGCCTTCCTTCTCACGATCCCACTACAAGGTCTAGAAACCAGTGATGCCTGTGTTGAGAAGTTTGGGGCACATCTCTCACTTTCTAGGTGCCCCAAACACAGAAGCATAATATCTGGGACACAAGATACATGGTATGCAGGGGCACATCTATCTTTTCCACCTGTGACAGGTTAGCCGGGATTACAAGAACCCTGAATCTAGAGGTTCCCCAAGATAAATGGGAATTTGAATTTGCAGCTAAGACTGTGGCTTCTGGAAACCTTCAAGCTCCCTGGATCAGGAATCCAAGGCTAATTGGCTTCTCAAATCTTGGAAAATGATCTCTGTCCTCAGTGTCCTCACCTATTAAATGGGTGCAATGAACATATCAGCTTCACCTCACAGTACTTTCATAAAAGACAGAAAAAGTCTTACAAGTACTGGTTTCCACGTATGTATTCCTTCATTCCCTATGCTGTCCCCTGATGTTAGATACATTCTACTCATGGAAGCAGCTGTCAAAAAATCAGACAACATGTTGCTTTAGGCATATCTGCCACACAAGGTTTTTTTAAAGTGTTGAAGAGCAAAGATGTCAGTTTGAGGACTAAGGTCCACCTGACCCAAGCCATGATATTTTCAATAGCTTCATGTGCATGTGAAAGTTGGACAATGAATAAGGAAGACTGTAGAAGAATTGATGCATTTGAGTTATGGTGTTGGAGGAGAATATTAAAAGTACCATGGACTTCCAAATCTATGTTGCCAGAAGTACAGCCAGAATGCTCCTTAGAAGCCAAGATAGCTAGACTTCGTCTCTCATACTTGCGTATGTTATCAGGAGGGACCAATTCCTTGAGAAGGACATCGTGCTTAGTAAAGTGGAGGGTCAGCATAAAAAGAGGAAGACCCCCAATGAGATGGATCGGCACAGTGGCAGGAGCTATGGGCTCAAGCACAAGGATTGTGAGGTTGAAGCAGCACCGGACAGTGTTGGCTTCTGTTGTGCGTAGGATCGCCATGAGTCAGAACCGACTCTATGGCACCTAACAACAACATTTATGCATTCAGTGCCTCCTTTGTGCAAAACACTTCACAGGACAAAAAAAAAAAAATGTGTTAAGACCTAGTTCCTGCCCTCTTGCAGTTTGTCGCTTATACGTAAGTCCTCCAGGCAGCATATGAGGGCTGGAGTTTGCAGATCTAAACTGTAAGAATTTGGGAAAGGGACAGAGCTCACTTCTAACTGGAAGAATAAGGCAGAAATTGATGGAGGAAGTGACAATGAACTCAGTCTTGAAGCATGATGGAATTTCTGTGGGAAGACCTGTGAAGTGGTTTGGAAGTCAACTGATTAGTAAAGTGAATGGAGGGCAGGCTGTACTAGGGAGTCTAGGAGAGAGAAGTGGGTGTGGTTGTATTGTTACATCTTATTGATTCAATCTGTAGAAGTAGAGCCAGAATTTCTGCTCTTGTACTTTGGACATATTATAAGGAGAGACCAGTCCCTGGAGAAGGAGATTATGTTTGGTTAAAGTCAAGTGTTGAAGAAAAAGAGGAGGGCCCCAACAAGATGGATTGGTACAGTGAGTGGTAGCATCAATGATTTCAAATGTAGCAGCGATCGTGTGGTTGGTGGTTCAAACGTATTAACTGCTCCTCAGAAACCCTGTACTGGGTCGCTATGAGTCAGAACCAACTCAACAGCACTTTACAACAGCGAGTTAGTGAAGATCCAGGTTGTAAAGAGGCGCTACTCTAAACCATTTGGATTTGGTTTAGAAGCAGGTGAGACATTTATTTCAAAATATTTATGAATAAGTCCCTGAATGGCACGACTGGTTAAGCGCTTGACTACTAATGGGAAAGTTGGCAGTTTAAACCCTTCAAAAGGCACCTTGGAGGAAGGGGGCTAGCGATTTGTTTCTTAAAAGTTCACAGGCTTGAAGACCCAGTGGAGCGAAGTTCTACTCAACTTTTTACCTACTCTTGACCAAGCATGAAGCAGCGAATGAAATCTAAGTATTTCTCCCATCCTGGAGCTGATATGCTAGTGGGGAGATAGACAATAAACACAAAACGAATTTGGTGATGGTGATTGTGTGTTGTTGAGTCCTATCAACCCTGTGTAGGGTTTCTGAGGCTGTAAATCTTTATAGGAGCAGAAAGCCTCATCTTTTTCCCAAGGAGTGGCTGGTAGATTCCAACACATAAACCACTATGCTACCTTTAAGAAATGTTGTTGTTGTTGTTGTTAAGTGCCATGGAGTCAGTTCTAATTCATAATGACCCTGTACAGGGTTTCCAAGGAAGGGCTGGTAGGTTTGAACCACTGACCTTGCGGTTAGCATTTCAGTGTTTATCCTACAACGCCACACCAGGATTCTCTTCTAAGAAATACAGCATGGCAAAGGACAATAAAAACAAGGAGAAAAGTCACTGACAGAGATCAGAAGTGTTGGGGGAGGTTGTCCTGGTGGGGAGTACCTGCCCTCATCACCAGTAAGTAAGTACCCTTATTACACAGTGCTGTAAAATAAGCTCTGGACTGGTAACCTCAAGGTTGGTCATTCAAACCCACCAATTGCTCCTCAGAAACTCTATACAGCAGGGGTGGGGAAAGTTTTTTTCTGCCAAAATCTATAACATCATTCACAGGCCATACAAAATTATCAACTTAAAAATTAGCCTGCTAGCGGAGGTCCCTAGGACCATCAAGGGAGAAGAGCAGAGAGCGGGACCCTACCCAGAGAAGCAGTGATGCCTGAAATGGAGCCAGAGATGATGATGTGGAGCGATGGAGCAGCTGGAGACTTTAGATCCAGAGAGGGAGAGTGACTGTGTGTTGAAGACCTGGGGGTATGGGGGGATGGGGGAGGAAGGATTGCATGGAGGGGATTGTAACCATGGCAATGAGAGACGATATACGATAGAATGAATGTAAAACTAATGTTCTCCCATGTAAACTATCACATAATTAAAAAAAAAAAAAAAATTAGCCTGCTAAGTTTGTGGGGTATATCCTTTGGTTGTTTGATGATGCAGGGAGGGGATTGTAACCATGGCAATGAAACATATACAATAGGATGGATGTAAAGCTAATGTTCTCCCATGTAAACTATCACATAATTCACAATAAACCATTTTTTTTTTAAATTAGCCTGCTATATTTGGTCAAACGTTTAATCAACTCACCCTTAATGTGGTGGCTAGAATTGTAGTTGCCTTGGTAGGGCCAGACTAAAAGATTTTGTGGGCCGAAAGGAGCTCTGGTAGCGTAGTGGTTACGAATCGGGCTGCGAACCTTAAGGTCAGCGGTTCGAAACTACCAGCCACTCCGCGGGAGAAAGATGAGGCTTTCTACTCCCGTAAAGATTTACACCCTCGGAAACCCTGTACAGGGTCGCTATGGGTCAGAATCGACTCGATGGCACTTAACAACAACAACAATGTGGCCCACAAGGAGCTCTGGTAATGTAGTGGTTACGAGTTGGACTGCTAACCTCAAGGTCAGCAGTTTGAAACTACCAGCCGTTTCATGGGAGAGATGAAGCTTTTTGCTCCTGTAAAGATATACAGCCTCAGAAACCCTATGCAGGGTCGCTATGAGTTGGAACCGACTCCACGGCACATAACCATCACTACCATATGGTGTATGGGCTGGACATTCTCCACTCTGCAATACAGGGTCGAGATGAGGTGGACCCAACTCGTTGGTACTTAACAACAACAGTCAGGGCAATGTTAGAGGTTCAAATCCACCCAGAGGTGACTTGAAAAAAGACCTGGTGTTTTACTTCTGAGAAATGATGGTCCGTTCTACTCTCACTCCATGAATCAAAGATACCCCATGGAGGTGATCTAGGTAAAGACCTGTCTGAGGTGAGGAAGAGAACCATAGGTATGCAGAGGGGAGGGGTGCGTAGGATCAAAGAATGACTAATGGGGATGGGGGGCAGACAGTGGAGGCAAGGCTATGAGTTAGAGGTTCCAGAAGTGGTTCTTACTGGAAGTAATAGGGACCTGACTTGGCCCAGAACCCCACTCCCATGCCTTCCATGTCACCTTGCGTCTGCCCCTTTTGGGGTTCTCCTCAATCCTGGTTCCCTGTATACCCCACTATGCCCTCTGGTCCTAATACCTCTTTTCAAGCCCGGGTGTCTCCCAGCCCCTCTCTGTTCTAGGAGCCAGGCTCTGCTTTTTGTCCAGGGTCCAGCTGTGGACATGCACACACACCCTCACGTCCACACACGTCCGCATGTGTGTCCTTCCCCGAGCCCCGCCACATCCCTAGGGTTCTGTTCTCCCCGTCCCCTGACTGCTGCGTCATGCCCTGACCCGACCATGGAGAGGGGGCCAGGGACAGATTGAGGGGTGGACACAGTCTGGAAAGGGAGGAGACAAAGAGAGGAGGCGGCTTTTGACCTATCAGATCTGCTCCTCCTCTCCCAGCAGTTTGTCAGGCCCAGAGCAAAGGCGTCGCCCCTGCCTTCCAGAAGGGAAGGGTGACCAGCCTTGAGTACCAGCCCCTAGGTCCTGAGGACTGCTGGACAGGGGTGGTACTTGGACTTTTGGAGAGAAAGCTGTGACTCAACTCGGGCACGAGGGGACAGGAGAAGGTATTGGTCCAGCCCATACCCAACCCCTAAGTTGTAGCAACCCTACTAAGCAGGTTCGTTTCGGTTCTGACTTCAACCCAGGTGCTCTTGGCTAAAGTCCAGTAAAGTCTATTGATTCGTCCTCAATGGCAGAGGCCCTGTGAGGCCCACCATTCCATTACTCAGGGCTCACTGCATCTGCCGTGGTGCTGAACCAGTCTTCCTCACTGACCTTCCCAGTACAGGCCTCATCCTGCCATTAGGGTCATTTTCCCATTGAACCGTCTTGTTTGCTTCATGTCCCTTGAGCAGAAGTCTTCAGTGACTCCCCACTGCCTCGGAAGTCAAACCCTCTGTGCTCTACCATCAGCCTAATTTACCAGTCTGTCATGGATTAAACTATCCCATCCCCCAAAATATGTGTCAACTTGGCTAGGCCATGATTCCCAGGATTGTGTGATTGTCCTCCATTTTTCGATTTGATAGAATTGTCCTGTGTGTTGTAAAATCCTAGTCTCTGCCCGTACTTAGCGAGGCAAGATTGTTGCTGTTGTTGTTGTTGTTAGGAGCCATCGCCTCAGTTCTTACTCACAGTGACCCTACGTTCAACAGAAGAGAATACTGCGGAGATCTGCAGCATCTTCACAATTGTTATGTCTGAGCCCATTGTCACAAGTCATGGTGTCAACCTAAGTCATGGAGACTCTGCCTCTTTTTCACTGACCCCTCGACTTTGCAAAGTGTGAATGTCCTTTTCCAAGGGACTGGTCCCTCCTGATAACATACTCAAAGCAGGTGAGATGAAGTCTGGTTATCTTCCCTCCTAAGGAGCAATCTGGCTATATTTTTTCCAAAATAGATTGGTTCGTTCTTCGGGCAGTCTGTGGCGATCCAATATTCTTTTCCAATACCACTATTCAAACAAACCAGATTCTTCTCCAGGTTTCCTTACTTCTTGTCTAGCTTTCTCATGCATATGAGGTGATGGGAAATACCTGAGGTAGGAGTAGCTTATGTTAAAGAAAAGTAAATGATGTGTGCTGTATTCTTGAGGCAGGATTAGGGTGGAATGCAACATGCAGACTCAGATCACAGCACTGACTCACTGTAAGGGGTGTTTCCCAGGGGTGTGGCCTGAATCACCTTTTACCTTTCAAGCGATGAGAGGAGAGAGAAGTGAGCAGCGAAGGAAGTATCTGACAACTATCCAGAAAGAAAAGTCAGAGCTCTGTGCATCTTTTGGAATCCCTACATTGAGAACTTCCAAGACTCAGAGGAAGACTGCTGCCAAGGTACAATCCAAGGCACGTCTGGCCCATAGATGTTGAAAGGAGATAATGACTTTGTCCCGAAGTTGGCAGACAGCGTGAGAGCGACTTCCCTTGGATTCAGCCGTGCAGCCTCCTAAACTGTGAGAGACTTTCACTAAAGTGTGAAAGCATCCACTTGTGGTACTTCCGTTATGGTAGCACGAGAGAGAACCCAGACACGCCTATTCTCCCTTCAGTTCCGTGATTTGTGGCTTCTAGGCCTTTGCTCACTTTGGGCCTTCTGCCAAGATTGCCTTCCCACACAAGCTACCCCAGTTCTTCAAAGCCCAAATCTTAGCGCTACCTGACAACCGCTGTCTCCTTCCTTTACACTTCCGCCATTTATGGACCCATTTTAGGCTCTGAAGTCCTGGTGTGGCGCTGTAGGATGAGCGCTGGGCTGCTAACAACAAGATTGGCAGTTCAAACCCACCAGCCGCTCTTCAGAAACCCTATACAGGGTCACTATGAGTGGGAACCAACTTGATGGCACTTAACAACCACTTAGGCTTCTTACTGGCAGGGTCACCATGTGCCACTCTCAAGGTAGAGAGTGCACAATTCCAGGAGGCACCATTCATATAGAGTCTGATGAGAAAGGCGCCCTCTGGTGTCAGGTAATGGAAGTGCCCTGCTGAGTGAAGAACGTGAACAACAGTATATGGAAAATCTTGTCCAGCTCGTCTCCACCATGAATCCAGCACGCTGTCTGCTGTTGGTCACTGCACATGAGTGAATTATAGAGTCCCTCCGCTGCAGACACCTCAGTGAGAGACCATGACTGGGAGAAGTAAGACACTCAGCATCTGAGCTCTCTGGGGTCCCTGGGTTTAGGAGGCCTTCATGCACTTACTGCGAAGGAGCTCTGGTAGCGTAGTGGTTACGAATCGGGCTGCGAACC